ACTCTTTCTCTAAGCATCTACTCTGTGCCAATGTTGGATACAGAATACCGGGTTAGATGGACCTGTGATCTGGCCCAGTGTGGCATCTTTTGTGTTCTTACTAGGCACATAGGCTGCTTGCAGATGTTTAAAAAAAAAATGTTTTACTTTAAATTCAGCGCGTTCCTGCGTCTAGCCAAGAGCATGCCCAGAAGAGGCACTGCCTTAGTTGGACCCAGCTCGCCTGATGTCTGTATAAATCAGGCACTTTAATGTAGCTTTTTGGCACTTTAATAGCTGATTGAATCAGCTTTAGCTAAAAGTGTCAAAAAGCCCTGCTGAAGCACCCAATCTATAGAGGTGCTGCAGAGCTGGGTTAAAGTAATGTGCTGTTTCTTTCGGTAAAGTGGTTTTTTTTGTGTGTCTTTTTTTAACATCTGCAAACAGCCATCATGGCCTCTGACATCAGAATAGCTCAAAAGAAAAGAAAGTCTGGTCAGAAGAGCTTATTTTCTTTACTGTTGCTGGTAAGGTAAAATGTAATGTCAAATTAAGTTATGTGGTGTCCTCCAAGAAAATGTATTTGATTAGACACATGGGGTTATCTACTCCACTTCTACTGAAGGTACATACACTCTTCATAGACTGAATGTTTTGATTTAATCCTGACTTCATTTAATCAGTGTTTATGTTGCATCCACGTGGATGCAGAAGGACTATACTAGAACAGAAATAAGTAATATTTTTATTATTATTAATGCATTGTCCTGTGTGACTGGCTTATTCATTCATTCTTAAAGGTGAAGTGAACATCTTAAATGAAAGAAGTGTGTGAGGAGGCTTGTAGCATAATGTTTTGAGCTAAGATTATGTCTGACAAATATCTTTATTTAAAAATGTACTTTAAAATTGATCTCATTCTATTTATCTTCTGAAACCTGAGGTGAAGTTCTGTTTTGATGCAGCTGATATTGTGATGGCATCTGCTTGTCAGAGGCCAGTGTTGAAGGTGGAATAGAATTAGAGTTGTGTCCTGATGAGCAGCCAAAGTGTATCTTAATCCTGACTCCTGGGCATTTCAGTAGGAGTACTCTGACATTTATATGCATTAATAGCACCTGCTAGGCAGAATAAGATTCAGTCTTCGTTCCTGACGTGTCACAGTGTATTTCCTTCCAGCTAGAACAATGAAAAGGGCTTAGGCAAAAGGGCTTAGACAAACCCCAAGCAGTTATTTTAAATTGTAGAACAAAATATAGTCAACTTAATCCTTCAGTCAAGTATGCCACTAAATATCAATAACTCCTTAGGGCAGTGGTGTGCAGCTGATCTAGCCCCATGAGCCAGATGAGTAGTGCTGGGCCATTCTGCGTGCCAGATCCAGAGCATAGAGCTGCTTCATTTAGCCTGTGGGGCCGGAATTTGGCACAGTGTTAATTGCTGCAGCTCTGAAGCTCCCAGAGGTGAGGCAGATGCCATTCCTCCTGCTGTCAAATTTCCGGCCGTGTTGGCCAGGTGACATGACTCCAGGCTCCAGATCCAGCCTGTGGCACTTCTCACAGTCCAGAAATTTGGTGGCAGCATGAGCAGTGGTAGT